CCCCAGTCGGCCTAGCGCGCACTGGCATCGGCCGCCTCGTCACGCTCCCCGAGCGAGCTTGTAATTGAACGATACGGGTCGGCGGAGAACGCCCTCGATCGGGGTCCGCGGCGCCGACGCCCGCCTGAGCCGCCCCGACTGGGACTAGTCCCGCCTCAGGCTGCACACGGCGTATCACGATCAGCAGTGTCCAACGTATTAAGCAATTGATGCACCATTGAATGCGGCTGCGTGTCCCGCCCGCCCGACGCGGTTTAGCGCGCATTTGTCGATGCTGATGGACGTGTAAGACAGCAGCGACAGCCTGAGGTCTCCGCGGACCCATGTCATACAGTACAGTGCCCGTCAGAGATGAAGTCGAAGTTGAAGTTGAAAGTTTAATTGCGCAAGCGTCAGTCGAACTTTATCTCTCCAATTCAGTCGACCTGGCCAGCGTCCGCGGGAGGAACGGCGGGCCTGAATGCAGTCTGTCCAACCTCCAGAATAAGACCTGATCTTCCTGCGTTCTCTGACTCTTGACGCTTTGCTTTGAGCGTCGCTATCGTCTCCGCGGAATTTATTATCTGCCTGGCGAGCGGCAAGATATGATGTGGATACGCGTCGGGCCGTGATGCGCCGCCGCGGCCGAGTCGGCCGACGCCGTATCCATGGCACAAGAGTTGCATCGCCATCGTGAGTCTCAGTCGCGGTGTGCTGCGGCCGCGGGTGCAAAGCGACGGAGGGAATCAACTGGGCAAGTATGATGCGTCCGTGAAAGAACAAATCTAGGTAACGGTAACAGGCTGTGAGGCAGCAACTGAGAAAAGCGGATTGGAGGAATCACAGGCTTGAAGAGGCGACCTCCGCCGATACGTATCGATCGTCGACGCTGCCTCCGTCCTTCCGCGCCGAGCCCGCGGGTGGCGCACGCGTGGGCACTCGCAACGGGTCGGCTCCACTCGGACGTTCGGCCGACGGCTGGTATGCACGTCTTCCTCCGGCCGACTGGCGATTGCTGGCTTGCTGGTGATCGCCCCCGGACGGAGCTGACCCCAGGCCCTTGCTCAAGCGCTGCTCCACCGCGCGCGTCTTCCCGCCCTGGCTCGCGATTTCTCCGGACTTCAGGCCGCGAAACCACTCTGCGAACGAACGCCGAAACCAGACTGCCATATGCATGGCCACGCGAGCGCCACTGACCGCATAACAGTAACACATGCGCCCCAATACAGTACGAATCACCGCGTTCCTGATATGGGCTGGTGCAGGGAGGACGACCAGGGAGTCGACGGCGACAGCGATGGTGGCTTAGCGCAGTGTCACGTCGTCGAGCGGTTGATGCCCGCGAGCCGCTAGCCGCGCGTGGGAACCACGGCCGAAGAACTAGAAGCTGGTTGAGTTCTCCTTGGCTGAGGGTAAGAAGTGCTTCGGCCGGGCTACACAAACGAATACAGGGCTCGAAAGGCGGATAAGGCGGGCAGGCTGGCGTCATGCTCCAGGACTTCGCCAGAGTGCACCTACCTGTCCATCCAATGAGCGGCCCGGCGGCCAGCCGCAATACCTAAGTATTTGACCATGGCCAATACCTGCAAGTACGTACCGTTTGGCTCCGCTGAGCCTGCCCTAAGCCTGCTCGTTTCAGCTGTCGCGGATCCTCATCTCCTTCCCTCCAACCTCGCCGTCCGCGCAGCCAATCCGCGCGCCCCGATTCGCGTGCAGGGCTGGCGGCCTTGGGAGCCATCACCGCATCACCATCACCCGTGGGCGTTTCGTGTAGATTACTTAGCCGACGTCGCGGTACGCATCGCGCACATGCCGTGCCGACGGCGCTCACGCGCTTACGGCCCCCGACTCGGCCGAACGGTTACCGGCACTGACCGACGATATTCCGATGCCAGCCCGGCGGGCAGTGGGCACCGGCACGTGCTGAAGTTCGGCTTGCGGGGTGGCTGGGACGGTGTACCCGCATTGGAGTAAGTACTTGGTTCGTCGCGATCGTTTGTCGGACTGTCTCCTGAGTGTAAGAATTAGCTACTTCTTACGGACGGCACGGCTGCAATTCTAAGCTTGAAGTTGCCCGATGTCGAATTTAGAGTGTTGGAGAAGCACCCCCGATCTGCGGTTGTTCACTGTCTGTCGCTACGGCATTATTAGGAGATTTTTCAGCGGTGGAGGGAAGATGGCACAGATGTCGCCCAAGCAGCAAGTCGTCCACAGGGAGGACGACACGGGCAGAGTCATACTTGAGCTCATAGCAACGGTCGAGGGCGCTCATAGCGGCGGGGAGACCGTGACGGTATGTGGCGGCCCGCAAGTACGTTGGATGCCAGGCAGGTGGATGCCGCCACCATTCGGAGCGGCGCATAACGTTAACCTTGCTAAACAGATAGTCTGCAAGGACTGCAACGAAAGCAACTTGAACACCACGGCGCCCTAGGTCAAGTTGCTTGCTGAGCGTAATCCTTTTTGTGTTGTTGAACGACGCGGTCAGTCGGCGGCCGTCTGTTTCACTCGCCAGCAATTGCGGTTGAGCGCAAGATGAGCGCTTCATGGTCAGAACTTTTGACAGAAAGTTTGGTGCAATCGCGCGCGCCGGCGGATCCACAAAAGGCGAGGGTGGCGGCGGCGGCTAATCGATTGGAGCGGACACGTCTGGCGGCGCACCTACGTTGGCGCATAGAAAGGATAAGAAAAGTCGTCGGAATCGGGTCGGATGCCCGAGAAGCTAGCTAGAAGGGAAGGCCTGAGCAGAGCCAGTGGAAGCTTGAGAGTCGATTGAGTTCAACTTGAAGTTGCCGTTACAACTGTTAACTGGCAGGTGCGCTGAGCTCAGATAAGTAGCATTGAGCGGATGTCGCCGGGCCGCCGCCGAGGTCGCAGCGCCTGAGAGGAGCGCATACACCCGTGTCCAATGGTGCCGGTATGTTGAGTAGTAGCGAGGCACTTCGTAGAACCCGGTTACTGGTGGCTTCTGGTCAGTCATCGCCACAGCCTATCGTGATGCCGCATGTGCTGAAAGTCGATTCAAGCTCGTCGGACAACCTGTGAATGGCTTGTCATCGCGAAGCCAGAGGCGAACTAATCCACTTACTGCGCTTCCCCGGATGGAGCTTCACTGCGCTAGAATTATACAATGGAGAAGATCAGGCTGTAACTTGGGTGGCACAAGCGCTTTCGGGCACCTGGAAGCTAGCTCAAAGGACTTGTCGAGAAGCAAGTCCGATTCGCTAGTGAGTTCCTGACGACGGTATTCTCGGGGAGAAGCTTCTGAGTCAGTCAAGCATCGTCGACGTGTGGTCCCTGGCCCCATCGGGGAGACCGGCAACGATTTTGGGAATTTGCGTTTTACGTGTAGGCGCACGACTGGCGCGCTTCGCTGTCAGTGAGGTCAGCGTCGTCAGAGTTGCCGTGGATATGGGAGGCCCAATCAGAGAAATTGCGCAATTTGCTGTTTTGAAGCAGGCGGCCGTCGCCAGGAACACGATTCCTCATCACAACGTGTTTGAAGAGCATACTAGAGACGGAAGAGTTATTGCACAGTCGACGAGTACTTCCAATACTGCTCCAGAACGCCGAGGACCATCCCATGCTCGACTTCGTCAACAATTTCGGCGCCTGAATTCGCCTCATTCGCCGGCACACGACACTGGCGGACGATCTTGGTTAGACCGTCCGTAATCCGCTGCTCAAACGAGTTTGGTGCCTCCTCCGGAGTTGTTACAGGCACGGGGAAGCAAGCGGGGGAAGCGAAAAGAAGATGTAGCGTTGTGCAGAGATAGGAGACCGCGTCTTTGCGCGCCAGACTCCTGACGCGACTAACGTGGGTTTTGGCGGAAGCGGGGGCAGGAAAGAGTGTTTGCAGCTGGGTCACTGTTGTAAGCGCAAGGGAATTGCGAAGGTTATGCTGGAATGCAGATGGTATCGAAACAAGTGATGTGAAAGAGCTTTGGAAGAGTTGAAGCACGGCGGGACGGAGATCTGCTGGAATGGACTCAGTTGGCCTCAAGGGGAAGAGGTCGGACAGAAAATGATCGCAGAGAGGAATGAAAGATTGGGTTATTGGCGTAAATATTGACGATATCATACAGTCAAGCAGCTTGTTCATCAGAGTGGAGACGGTAGTCGGTTTACGGATGAGAATAGGAAGGGTAGTCGACAACAACTGGGACATAAGATCAGAGAAACGAAGGAGCGTTGTGGATTGGGAGGCGACAGTCGAAGTCGCGCTTGTAAGAATCGGCTGGAGGAAATCGGCCATGCCGGAGATGACAAGTTGGGTCGTACGCAAGAGCAGAGACCGTTGGGCCGGAGTAGTTTCGTCGATGTTTAGAGAAGTGGTTAGCTGCTGGAAGGAGGAAAGGCTCGAGAACAACGATGCTGAACCCGGTATTGTAGCTATTTCTACCTCTGAAACCGTATTAAACGCGTCCCAGTTACCAGAATGATAGTACTGACGAATGCTTTCAAGCTTCGGCCGTGCTGAATTCGTCTTGTCGGAAGATTTCTTTTTCGGCTTTTTCTTGGTAGTGGTCGTTGACGGATTGCTACTTGGTGGCTCTGTTGAAGAGGACGGTTGAGACAGTATACCAGCACTCTCTGAAATGGATTGAGCAAGCTTTCTATCTCGATGTGCCACTCACTGATTCGCTCCGCGTCATACTTCTGCTTCAAGTCGACCATCTCTTTCTCCAGCGACAATGCATGTGTCCGCCACGACCCATCCGATGTTGGAGGAGCAGGTTGGGACGCCGGGAAGACCGTTCGCAGTTGCAGAACGTAAGCTATAGCCGAAGTCAGAAAACGAGGCAGCTTGTCGGTGGCCCATTACACGCGCAAGACACGTCGTTTGGCTTGTATTTCAAAGCGGCGAGAGCTTAGGAGATGTAATCATTACTCCACAACGAGTGGGAGCCTCACAATTGCAATGCGCAGACGGTCAGCATCGGAGACCATCGTGGGGGAGAGTAAAAAGAAATATTGATGTCACGGTGCCGACAAACTTGGACTGATACCACCATGTTCTCATGAGAGCACTCGAATTTTACAGTGGAATCGGTCGGCTATCCTCTCTTTTCCTCTGCATATAATATACTCAGTCTTTTCAGGTGGACTTTGTTGAAGTATATAGCTCACGCGCGTCATTCTATACACGTGTATGCTTACATAGATCATCGATTCTTGCTTTTGCCCTCTACCGAGACCTCGCCGCTCTTCGCGTTTGCCTCACCGCGCCCTTTTCCTTTCGCGCCGACGCCGCCTCGCTTGCTGCGCTCAACAGACTTCACCTAGCGCTGGAGCGGAGTAAAGTCGACGCGAATGTTGTTCATGCATTCGATTGGGATAGGACTGCCTGCGAGGTGTACTCAGCCAACTTCGGGCTTGGAATTGCCCGCAAGGTGAGTGATCTTATAGCATGGCATCTTGAGCTCACTTAAAACGATGCAGACAGACATATCGACTCTGTCTGCGGACTACCTTGCTTCGTTGAATGCCTCTTTATGGCTTCTTTCTCCCGCATGCCAACCGTATACTGTCCTCAACCCACAAGCAAAAGGAGAACTCGATCCACGAGCACAGTCGTTCTTGCATCTTGTGAGAAACGTTCTCCCAGAATTGGCCACTCGGAACGCGCATCCGACACATTTCCTAGTAGAAAACGTTGCTGGGTTCGAGGTGAGAATCCCTCTCTATTCTCTGTACATACCTGACAGATTGCAGACCTCCACTACGCGTCAGGTGCTCGTCTCCACTCTCGAGCAACTGGGCTCAGATACAACAGCGGAATTCCTTTTGACCCCCTTACAATTCGGCATTCCCAACTCCCGTCTCAGATACTATCTACTAGCCAGACGATCACCATACGCTTTTAGCCATTCGAATCAATTTGTTTCAAAGCCATTGCGCTTCATCCCTGGTCGAGGGCAAGAGGAGCCTTGGGCGGATGTGGGCGAAATTCGAGAGTATTTGGACCGAGAAATCGATGAGGACCGTGATATTCCCGACAAGGTCTTACTCAAGTGGGGAAGGCTTTTCGACATTGTCCTCCCCTCTTCTCAGCGGACTTGCTGTTTCACTCGTGGCTACACACAACTTGTCGAAAGGGCTGGCTCTATATTACAATTGAACGAAGAACTCGACGTATGCGGCTCTTTTGGTGTCCTGATTCGTTCTGATTTTCAATTTTTCATTGCAGACAACGACCGTATTCGACGCATTCCTCGCACAAAAGTCTACCCATAACGAAACCGTTCGAACACTTGATCCACTTCGATTGAGATACTTTTCCCCCAACGAATTACTCCGCCTCTTTGCGTTCTCTCCCCTCGATACTCCACCCCAGTTTATCTGGCCAACAACGATCTCACGCAAGACCAAGTATCGTCTGATCGGCAACAGCGTCAATGTTCGTGTGGTTCAGGAGCTGATCAGCTATCTCCTCGACGAATCGGATGCTGATCCTGCACGGACAAGATGAGACATAGGGGTCCGGTCTCAAACCTCCACGGGAGTGGGGCGAGCGTGGGGTGCGATGGCAATGCTGAGACACGAGCCGCAATGCATCCGCAAGACAGACCTCTTCTGCTATAAAATCCACCCACCTCTTCGACACCCTTTCTCACACAAACCACCATCATCCACGCATAAACCCAAACCACCCAAATTTAGCCATGCCCACTTACCGCGGTCTCAACGACGACAACCTCATCTACTATAACACCAGAGTCGTTACCTACCCCGCTATGCCCGAACGCGATGAATGCATGACCCACCTCCCCACCTTCGCCGCCCTGTTGTCGCAGTTGGCGCTTGACGTGAAGGTCGAAAACTCGTACATCCCGCTCCGTCGTAAACGCACACCAATACCTCCTCCTATTGCTCGTTGCCATGCTGTGATGCGGGAGGGGCCATTGCCGCTCCGCTCGTGCCTTAAACGTCGGTGAAGCTATGTTTAAATAGGAAGGAAGAAGTTGGGTCCAGGTTTGTATATCAATGTCGTTCTTCAAGTCATCGTACTAATATTGCGACAGCGTCATTTTTAACGCTCGCGTTGACCTCTCCTATAACCCGTCCGGATCTCGCAACCATTTTGCTTGTGGGGTCTGCTGAAGCGCTGGTTATTGTGTCGAAACACAGTTGAGGAGAAACTAGCATCTAAATCTATCACATAGTATATGCATGAATATCCATTTGTACCAACATGTTTCGTGCAATTGACATTGACTCATATTTGCGCTGAAATTTTTCCGTGACTCCACATGCGTGACGGGTGACTTCTCTTCTCTTTTCTCTTCTTCCTGTCTAGCTTGGACCCCGCTGACAAACTAACCGCTCCCCGGCTGCTCATAGTCTCTGACTCTCCACGTGCACCTCCCCCGGACTTGGTGTATCCACCTCGAATGTTCTTCAAGCTCCGACTTTCAAGTTTCCCCAAATCGACACGAAAGCGCTTGCCGGTTTCAGAGACTTGAGTTCCAGAAAGACTTTCTGTATGCTATAAAGCCTTCGTCTCTGCTTGCATCAAAAGCACAACCAACTACCACTACCACCATGTCCGTCTTCTACTTTACTTCTACTACGACCCCTTCAAGTTTGCCCGCTTCGAGCGCCTCCGATTCGACGACGCCTTCCGTTCACGCAACACCACACCTAGCAGCCTCTTTGGGAGTAACGAGACTGTGGAGGCGTTTAGACCCAAGTATACCCCCATTTTTTTTGTTCCGAAATCCATCGGCCTTCTCGCAGAATGGATTTCCACAAGAACACCGAATCCAACCGTACCGTAACTTGAACTGCCATCTTCGAACTTCCGGGCGTCCAAAAAGAGGACGTGCACATCGACACGCTCCCTAGACGCCTGCGCATCTTCGCCGAGTCCAAAATCTCGGCGGAGCACGAGAAAGACGGGTACGCGATCCGCGAGCGCCGCTTTGGCAAGTTTTCGCCCACCCTGCACTGGGCCTGCAGCTTCCCAATGGCGTCAAGGTTAAGTTCCGCTTGTTGTCGCTGAATTCAAGCTTAAGGCTGACGAGTGGTTTTAGGAAGAGGAAATCAAACTTGAGGAAAATCATGGTCGCTTGACTCGACTTATCGCAAACGCCACTTCCCAGAGCTCACACTGTATTGTCTAGAACCGGAAACATGTAGTGGCAACGAATAAACAGGACCTGTTTCAATCGAAGATACTACGGACTTTCGGTGCCTGCGAGATTCTGTACTCGAGCTCCTTCATCTCTCTACTTTGCAATCCCTTGAATCTCTTCCCGACATATCCCACCACATCTTCGCCAGCCACTTCTACCTCGAGCTTTACAATGCGCGACGCCCCGCGGATCCCGCACCACCTGCGCTCAATGATGTCCGCCAGCACCTGCGCCGGGACCGCGCGGGTCATGTTCCGGATCACCAGTGTCTCAAGCTCGGGAAGGAGATGGCCGCCCGCAATGCTGTCGCAGAGCGCCGCCGTCTCCACCGCGCCGAAGCCGTCCAGTGATATGATCAGCCGCGTGAGCGTCGGCAGCCCGGCAAGCCACGCCATCACCGCCGCGGCCGACATGCCGCGCGACCGGCCGATTTCCAGCCCGCGCAGGGCCCGGTGCTCCGCGGTGCCGGGGATCAGCAACAGCAGCGCCGTCGCCGGGTGGGCGAAGTCGCCGGGGGGCTCCTGCGGGAAGCGGAGGGTGTGCAGCGCGGGAAGGACGAGCGCGGCGGCGATCGGCGCGGGGAGCCGGGTATAGGAGAGTGTGTGCAGGCGGGGGAGCACGAGCGGTGGACCGGGCCCGGGATGTATGGCGTCGAGCGGGAGGCTCTCCGTGATGTTGATGGTGAGGTCACGGACCCTTGGGGTCTGAGCAAGGATCGGGATGAGCCCGAAGTGGGATTCACCTCGGAGGTACAGCGTAGCCACGTGCTCGAGCGGCAGGCCCAGCTGGAACATCACAATCGGCGTGTCGAGCGTCAGGCGCGAGAAGCATGGCGCGTCGGCGGTGGCTCCGTCGGCGCATTCCAGTGCAATTTCGCCCTGGATGACAAGCCGCTCCAGCAAAGGCAGAGATTTTGGCAGGGGAAACGCCAGCGCGTGCAGGTCACGGTTTGGACCCTTCAGGCACAGAGTCTGCCATTGTGTGGCGTATTTGGCTGCCACCGACCAGAACATTGTGGCTACCTTCTGGTCAGGAGGGAAGGTGAGTGTGAGCTCGATGGGCGTCCCGTTCGAACGGGAGAGCCATGTTTCGAGCGCCTGTAATTCAGTGGCGCGGCCGCGGCAAAACATCGCGACCTTCGTCCATAATTCTGGCGCGGCAACGACAATTTCACGCCATGCTGAGCAGACCGCGCCAAGGTTGAGCGCCTGCAGGACAGACTCCTGGTGGTGGTGCCCCGGATCCGAGTCGTGGATAACGAGAGTGAATATCAGCCGCGCAACGTCGGCAGGCAGGGACATCGCGGGGAATGAGATAGCCGCAAGCGATTCTTGAAGCTTTGCCTTTTCTGCGAGCAGGGACGCGATCGTCTCGTCGAGAGCGGTAATCTTCGCGCGCAGTTGAGCAGCCTGCTCTGGCTGAGCCAGAGACGTCATGGTGGTCGACAGCAAAGACAAAGACAATGGCGCGATGCATACCCCGATTCCCCACACCTTGTCAGCCGTGTTCTACGACCCGATCATCTCCCTATATCAACCACACTGGTGACTGAGGTAAAGATGGATGGTACCGCCAATACAACACACAATGAGGTTCTAGGAAATGGAATATTGATCCGGAGGACTACCGATCCGATAAACAAGGTTTGGTTGAAAAAGCATAATATAGTGATGGGGATTGAACAGGCGATGGAGCCAGAAGGGCGGGGCCGCGGGGGAATTAAGAACCAAAAAGAGGTACTCATAGCCCTGATGTCCATAGCCTGGATCGAACAGGCGGCTCCTCGGGATTGACTGCCAAGTCCAACCACAACGAGGTGATTTAACCACTAATCGATATAGACCGACAGTCAGGCTTTCCCGTGGCCATATGACCGGGGTCAGTAGTTCATTGGATCAATTGATGAGACGCTCCCCAACCCACTTCTTCACAGACAGAGTCAATTTTGTTTCACATATTCAAGTTGAACCTCAGTGAGCCCATCCAGACACAGCGATCTATAGCTACACTACATATATTCAAAAACAGAAAAAAAACCTTGACGCTACGCCTCCTCCTCCTTCGCATGTCCATCATGCTCAACACTGTCCTTCTCGCCCTCCGCCGCGCGGCCAAGCACCATTGCCCCGCGCCTATCCACGCGCGCCTCTGCCCGGAGCCGCTTCGCGACACGCACAGGGTCGAGCACGCTCCTGCTCTCGAGGAAGATCGTGTCGACGCTCTCGAGGTGCAGGCCCTGCGTCTCCGGGAACAGAAAGTACACCACTTGCCGGATCATCAGCGCGCACTCAGCCGAAACGCGGGCACTCACTTGGCAATATCACACACCAGTTGATCACCGCATACACCAGAAAGTAGCGCCAGCCAATCTTCGCCACGCCCGTCGGGGTCGCCTCCACGACGACAAAGTTGAACAGCCACGTGGCCGTCGTGCTGAGCGCCGTCACGCGCGTGCGCGCCGCGAGCGGGGCGATCTCCGCGCTGTAGAGGAACGCGAGCCCAAGGAAGCCCGTCACGAAGGCGGTGCTAAAGAGGTACACGAACGCGATGGCCGCGTGCACCGCGGCGGTGTCCGCGGGCCGCGCCGTCAGTCCCGCGATGAGCGCCATGCACAACCCCATCCCGCCAGCGCCGAGCATCATCAGCGGCCGTCGGCCCACGTGGTCGATCGTGAATGCGCCAAGGGGAGCGCAAAGTGTTTGCCTGCGTTTAATTAGAAAGTCATCAAAGATCAGATGGAGGCTTACCAAGTAAACACCGTCGCGGACAATATCCGCGCCGTCTGCGCGTCAAGCCCAAGGTACGTCCTGAATATCGTCGTCTGGTAGTACCCCAGCACGTTGATCCCGCACATCTGCTGCGCGAACTGCGCGGCCGCGGCAACGAACGCGCGGTTCGCGATCCGCGCGGGCCCGTTCGTGAACACGTCCCGGAAGTTGCCGGTGCCCGTCGCGGCGAGGGACGCCTCGATTGCGCGCAGCTCGGCGTCCACGTGGGCGTCATCCGGCGCGGTGTCGTCCAGCGCGGCGAGAACGGCGCGGGCTTCGGTGAGGCGGCCTTGCTTCACTAGCCAACGTGGCTGTCGTAAAAAGTTAATATCATGAGATATGAAAACAAGAAGAGAAGGGAAGTCGAGAGCTTGAACTCGGAGCCGAGAAGGCGATAAGCAGACAAAGAGATGTGGCCGCTCGTTTTAGACGAGAAGAAGGCAGTAGAACTGGCACGCGTCCCCAGGATTGGCCCAGGCCATGGATGGGGCTTTTCACTTGGTATGACCCAGCGAAAATGAGCCAATGGCACGTTGCATGTTTCCCCCCGCCGGCCGAAACATGCAAGCTTGCTCGTTGGACTTGATCTATTTTCGAGCTGCCCCCGCATGAGCTAGCCTCGGAGACCTCGCCGCAGAAAACACCCCAGCTGCGACCATTTGGTGACCATATCCAGTGCCAGTGTAGGAAAACTTTGGAGAAAAAAAAACCCATGAAATCAGAGACGCGGCGCGAGTAGCAGCGTGGACTGGGCAAGGGCAAGATGTCCGAACCAGCTCCAAGTCCACGTGGTGGCAAAGTTCTCTTCCTCGACTCGGAGAGACCTTTGCCTCGCGGTACTCAGAGTTCAATGAATGATAAGAGAGAAGGAATCCGGAGCCGAGGAATCGGTGGGTACACCCCGCACCATCCCCGGGCCTACTGTTCAATCCCACTGAACACCCAGTCAAATGAGGCAACCATTTGGGGTCCAGACTCGCAAAGTACCCACTCGCAAATTGCACGCGTCTGCGTCCCAGCCCTCCGAGCAGCAGGAACAGAGGGGAAGCGAGAAAGAAATACTGTAAGGAATGTGAAGACTCACCGACTCCGGCCAGCACGGCGTGGACACAAACACCACCAGGTCCAGAAAACACGAGAACGCGAGGGAGAAGCGCCATGTGACGTCGCCTTTTGCATGGGAGATGCCAAAGTTGAGGAAGGCCTGCAGCGCGAGGCCCGCCGAGATGAACAGCCCCTCGAGCATCACCATGAACCCGCGGTGGCCCGCGCGGCTGCACTCGGTCTGCCTGCCTCAAAATAGTCAGCATTCTATTTGTTCAAAAAAGGGGAACTTGTTGGACCAATTCGGGGCCGTCGCGCTGATCAACCCGAGCCCGACTCCACATACGACACGGCCAACGACGAGCTGGGCCAGTGAGAACGCAGACGCCTCGAGCGCGCTGCCCGCCGCGCCGACCGCAGCCCCGAGCATGATCGTCCTCCGTCGCCCGAGGACATCGCCGAGGAAGCCGCACGCGAGCGCGCCGAAGAGCGCGCCGAGGGTGTAAGCCGCGACGACGGTGCCCTGCACGTGGGCGCGTGTGCCCGAGGCGGGCGAGGCGAGCGTGGGGAAGCGCGCGGCCCAGGCGGGGAGGTCGAGCAGCCCGCCCGCGACGCCGTTGTTGAACCCGAAGAGCAGGTAGGCCGGCATCACCACGCTCACCACGAGCATGTTGTTGAGGGACTGGCCCCGGAAGCCGAAGTAGGGAGGCATGGGGAAGAGGGGAGAGGAGAGGGCTCGGGCGATTTATAAGGATTCGCGAAGAAGAACTGTCCGTGATCGAGTGCTGTAACACCGGCTAAGCCACGCGGAACATGGAGGACGAAAAAGAGAGCATGGTCACTAGCCCTGGGTTGTCAGCGTCGGCGCCAGTATGGCCAATGAGACCTCCACAGTGCGACCACTCACATGTACCGCCCTCATTTCCCTCACCAGACTCGGATCCACCACGAATAGCCGCCAGTTGACGCATGGGAGAAATGTTATCGCAGGAAGTTCGATTGCGCATGCCGGTCCGAATCCCACCGCGGAGGCGACGTCGAACGCGATCCAGGCCGGGCTGGACCAATCACCTCCAGGAACAGCATATCCGACGTTCGTCGTCGTGGTCAAATGGAAAGAACGTTTTGATTCGCGCTGGCGGTGATGTGACCGAGTGACCCGGACGGCGCACCCTTCTGCCGGAACTCCCATGAGCTAGAAAGCTGCTCCCCACCACCATGGCCACCGCCCACGCTGCGAGCTGGGCCGCCTCGCTGACGATGTCGCAGCTCCCGCCCGCCGTCGTCCGCGCGGCCATGGAGAGTCTGTACAACTACATCGGGTGTGCTATCGGGGGCGCGTCCCACCCGACCACCGCCGCCGCCCGGAGCGCACTGGCCCCGCTCTTCGGGGCATCGACATCCACCCTCCTCGGACAAGACGCCAAAGCTGACGCAGCACACGCGGCGCTGCTCAACGGGATTGCTGCTCACGTGCACGACTACGACGACACCCACCTCGCGACGATCGTGCACCCGACCGCGCCTGTCGCGAGTGCATTGCTGGCCCAGGCAGAAGCACTCGGCCCGGGCATCTCCGGCGAGCGTCTCCTCGTTGCACTTGTCGCGGGGATCGAGGTCGAATGCAAGCTTGCCCTCGGCGTGTGGCCCGCGCATTACGACGTCGGCTGGCACATCACCGGTACAGTCGGCGCTATCGGCGCTGCCGCCGCTGTCGGCCGTCTCCTGGACCTCTCTCCTGTGCAGATGGAGCATGCACTCGGGATCGCGGCGAGCCAGGTCACGGGGCTGCGCGTGATGTTCGGTTCGGACACGAAGGCGTTCCACGTGGGCCGCGCTGCGCAGAACGGACTGTTGGCCGCATTGCTCGCACAAAAAGGCTTTACTGCAGCACCCGGGGCGCTGGAGGCGTCACGTGGGTGGGCCGCCGTCGTCGACGCCATCACGCCCGCCGCGCCACAGAACATCGCCGCCCAAATCCACACGCTCGGCCACACCTGGGAGATCACGGCCAACGCGTTCAAGCCGTTTCCCTGCGGGATCGTCGTGCACCCGACGCTCGACGCGTGTCTGCGCCTCCATGATTCCGCCGCGGCCATCACCGCCGTGCACGTGCGCGTGCACCCGCTCGTGCTCGAGCTCACGGGCAAGACCGCGCCCGCGGACGGGCTGCAGGCCAAGTTCAGCGTCTTCCACGCGGCGGCGGCGGCGCTGCGCTCCGGCGCGGCCGGCCCGGCGCAGTTCGCCGACGCCTTTGTCGTCCGCCCGGACGTCGTCGCGCTGCGCGGGAAGGTCACCGCCACAGCGGATGCTGGGCTGGCCGCTGACGCCGCGGAGGTCGTGCTCACCCTCGCGGACGGCGCTGAACGGCGTGTGTTCGTCGAGCACGCGATTGGCAGCACCGCGGTCCCGATGGACGCTGCCGCGCTCGAGGCAAAGTTCCTTGGCCAGGTGACGCCTGTGCTTGGAGCTGCTGCTGCTGCGCGTGCCAGTGCTATGGCGTGGGGCGCTCTCGAGAGCACAGATGTCGCGCAGTGGGCAGCAGGTTTGTCGGAGTGAATATTGGGTGGAGTTGAACAGATGTCTCCTACTATTTTGTTGACTTGGAATCCAAATTCTTATGCAAGCCGAGCCCGTGGGCCGCGGCAGGCTGTGAGCTTTAGGTATCACATACATCGAGAACTTTCGACCTTTTGCCCTTGCCAAGCCCCTTGGTTCGATCCAAGCTTGTGAATTTCAAACATTGACATCTGGTTCATTTGTTTCTGGCATAAGTATTATGCTTTCAAATTTCTATGCTTGCGTGGCGGCTGGCCTCATTTCAGTTCTTTCCCCATCTTCAAGTGCTGTCCTCTCTGACAATGCGATGTGCCTGAGATTTGCACACCTCGGAAACAAGTAGGCAGGTTTTACCCACGGGTATGTTGAAAATATGATGGTCACAATGGTATGATGGTCACATGTGTGACTCGCCGCAAATATTCCAGCACCATTCATTGCTAACTGATTAAGAAACAAGTAGAATACATCAGGAAAAACCTACTTTTCCACTTTACCGTGCTTTACCATCCTGGGAAGGTAAAACCAAGTTATTTCAGATATTTGAGGGTGACAAGTGGTAAAACTAGGGTAATTAAGGGGTAAAAATCTGCTAGGAATGGTAATTATAGTGAAGTTGTCAAATTATGCTATCATTATATATATATATATATAATATATATTAAAATTATAAAATTAAAATAATGTTGCAAATACATGACGATCTGTGCGATGATTTACAAAACGTGTTGGACATAGCTTAAGAACATTGCTTGATATCCATTCTTTAGGGGCAATAGGACCAAATTTAGAAAGTAGATGAATATTATAGTATTCTAGTTATAAATGTACTTGGTATATAATCTCAGCAGAAGAGCATCATTTGCCCTAATACATGAAAGCCTGCTGCCAACAGGAAACACTGAGGGAGACACGCAGCAAGTCAACAGGACTGGGCTGTGGATTCCAAGGACGACGAGCTACAGGACAAGAATGACTACTGATGGTCACACAATGAGTGACACTATGAGTGAGTGTCACACAGATAAACCAGCGGGTTTACACCCTCCCCTCTTCAGAACACAGAGCACCCTCCAAAGCAATCCAGCACATAAACCCTGAAGACAACTAAAATAAACCCAACACCAGAGAACCAAACCAGATTCGCAACTTGCATATTGCCACAATACACATGGAAACACATCATGTGGGTCGTACCAAGAGCAGGATGCAGGGAGGCAGCCAAAGGAAAGACAGGGGTGTTGGCAAGACAGTTATGAAGAACCAGATAGTGGTTGCTGAATCAGACACCAGTGCATGGAACAGCATCACACAACTCGAGCCAGAACAACAGACCTGGGGTGGCCAGAAAGAAGAAGGCGATTAAAGCTGAGGATATAATACCAGGGACAGGTGGAGCAAGCAAAAGGGGAGTTGCACGGGGTGGCCAGAAGACGAAGAACCAGGGTAGTGAAACCAACAGGTAGATGAATTTCTGTGCCCAATAGGATGTCAGGACAGCAAGGCGCATAAGTCCAAAGAGGGCCAGACACCAGATGAAACCAGACAGGACACCAGGACAGCAAGGCACACAAGTCCAACGAGGGCCAGGTATCAGGCGGCAGCACAGAAGCGCATCAACAGGAAGGAATCCAGATGGCGAGAATGAAGAAGATGATTAAAGTTCTGTCATAACATAGAGGAGAAAGACAGTTTGGGTTACCAAAGCGATTGTAAGGGCAACCTCGTGTAGCGGGCCGGAGCGGATCTCCGCCGCCCGCTCCAGTATAACAATCTGATAAATGTCTTACCTGTGATATTCAGCGCGCTGCCGCTGATCTTTGCACTCCACTATGATGTCATCTTTTTTGTAGTATATAAAGCTTGTAGTAGTTAAGAGTTTCGGGGAGAAATACCTTTACGCCTGTTCTTGCGCCCTTGTGATCCGTGTGGCGGCACCTTAGTCAGCTTCCGTCACACCTCGCGAGGCTCGAAATCAGAGTCCTGAGCAGAGGGGGAATCCTTAGTGAACTACTACAACAGGAAGGGACGCTACAGACTCACCTGAGCAGAGGGGGAATCCTTAGAGAACAAGCCAAGGAGCCCTCTGCTCAGGTGCACTACTATATACTAGTGACCGGAGTAATGATAGAGTGACTGCATAGCGACGAACGACGCATGGGAGAAGTCAGGTGTCGCTAATGGACCCTAGGTGAGTGTCGAGTAGCCCTCGAAGCTCCGGAGAGGCAGGTTTGGGACCGTGATGCCAAGGGAGGAGCCCAGGCATCCTTAGAAGGCCTAAGAAGGGCTTCGGGAGGTCCAGGCTGCCTCTGAGCGTCTCCGCTTGTGACCGTGACCGTGACAACCGGAATCGGAACCGGAATCGGAATCGACTCCGGGTGTGTGACCGTGACGTGACAGCCGGAAACGGAGAGGGAAGGCGTGGAGCGGAAAGGGAAGGAGTCTGGTCTAGCCCAAGGGCCGGGGAGTGTCGGAGAGGACCAATGGGAATGGCGGCCAGCCATGACCACTGGAGGGTAGCGACAGGAGGGTCACTCGGAGACGTCCCCGGACGTCTCCAGAGAGGTGGGTGTGAGGGCGTGCAGCCTGGGGCGCTGCGGTAGGCACGAGCCTTAACGGCAGTAGGCCTCACCCAAAGGGAGACCCGATGACAGGGGCCGTGGTGGCGGAGTGGGAAGCGGAGCCATGGCGAGGCTCAGCCATCCGAACGTAAGCCCGAACGCTGACATAGGTTGGAGACACCTAAGAGGTCCAGCAGGTAGAGATCGTAGGGAGACCTTGATAAGTGACAGCCCAGAGAGGCTGGCAGGCCATAGGCTCAAGGTCTAGAGGGAAGTGGTGCATCCACATCCGGAGAGGTCTCCGATGGCATTAGTGATCCCTGCTGGTGACTCCGGAGAGGCTCCCGGAAAGGGGTGGCCAGGGAAGTCGAAGACTAGGGATTACTGGATGTGGGATGTGGTGCGGGCAGTGGAGGGAGAGCGTCAGGGTGTGGAGACACGGAAACACGAGCGGAGACGTGGAGACGCGAGCGGAGACGTGGAGACGCGAGCGGAGACGCGGCGCTTGATGGGATCAAGTGACGGCATCAGGGTTTCCCCTGACAGCGATCTTCTGCGTTGGACTTCTCAACAACGGCTTAAGCGCATCTGAACCAGGAGGAGGAGTAGCAAGCCAGAAAGACCAGGTATGAGTCTACAACGCAGGGGAAGAGATCAGCGGTTGCAGCATTCAGCCAGTTCAGGGTCAACTTCCAAACAGGGAGATGTTGACAGGAGACAGGAGTGTCCGCCAGGAGACAAGTAAGGGAGTGACAGATAGACACAGACAACAAGAGCTCGTTCTCGACAACGGCCTGGGCGATTCCCACGCTTTTCGAAGGAGGAGTTCTTCATGTGGGGGGGAGCCGACTGCCGAAATATGGGGCGATTTCGTGCACAGGAACCCGAGGAATGACTCGTCCTTGCCAAGCAAGATAGCGACTGATGTTGCAGACGACAGCGTGGGAACGTGGAGAGCGTGGGAACGGCGAGATGGTCGGATGACATAAGCGAGCCAGTGTACCAAGTTCGGAGGCAATAGATGCAGTAGATGTGGAGATAGAAGCCAAAGAGCGACGAGGAAATGTGTCTGAGAAGCAAAAAAGCACCAGTGGTAGTTGAAAAAAAAGTGAAAGCCTGCTGCCAACAGGAAACACTGAGGGAGACACGCAGCAAGTCAACAGGACCGGGCTGTGGATTCCAAGGACGACGAGGTACAGGACAAGAATGACTACTGATGGTCACACAATGAGTGACACTATGAGTGAGTGTCACACAGATAAACCAGCGGGTTTACAATACATCTAACTCTAACCAGTTTGTGATTGCAACAAAACCTGTACTTCTTTCTATTGAAGAGAGAAGGGAAGGACCAATGTCTTATTGCAGAGCAATACAGAGTATTTGTACTACTCTAGTCTTTCTAGTAAATTCTAGATAAATGAGTTAATGGAATATTGGAGAAGGATCCCGACGCTCTGTGTCGGTGATGGTCTGGTGACTAACGTCATCTGGCCAGTGAGACTCGGGTTTGCTACCCGATACTTTAACACTTTTGATCCCATCGCTCTCTAGATCATTGCTTATTTCAACAGGGGGTGTACAGGTCTGTCATGGATAAGACCCGGCCCATCCACTCCAGCGCTGGTATTAGGCCACCAAGGGCCTGCAACACGTGGAATGTGACTAGTGATAGCGGCATCATGTTTGGGATTCTGGTTCAAACCCGAACCGGACTGAACCGAACACAAGTTTCGATTTAAAGTCCGGCCTGGGGCTGAACCTGAACTTGAAGTTTGGTTTGCTGTTCAGTACTGAGCTCTTTTCTCTGAACCTGCTTCGAACACATTTAAATGCTGAACGCCAGATACACTGGGCTGGCGTTGCCAATCCAGTATCAACTCAATTTGGATGCAGCTGGCACGTGATATGACATGGTGTATAAAATTCACACTGTTATTGCACTGTCACCGCCTATCATGCTGGTGCCATGTGTCGCGAGGGCGGATCATGCCTATGCCAGGACTCCCTGGACCAGACCGGGACCTTACTAAGTAGCAGCCAGGGCGCTGCTAGCAAGCCTTTAAGTCCTCGTTTTGTGAGTAATAGAGGCAGACGGCATGTACTATCCACTCCTACTGTAAAACAATACATGAAACTTATAGGAATAATCAGTTCAGCTCATTCACTCAGAATTGCTAGCAAAAAATGTGGCTACTGGTGAAGAGCCTTACTCAAAAAAAAACTGGGCAATGGGCCAAGGGTCACAAATGTCACACTTTTTAAAAAATCATTTTATTCATATTTAGGTGTTAGATCATAGTATTGATGATGGAATTGATTATATTAAGATAAAGTGATCAGTATAGAACAATTTTTGATTGACATCAGTGCTTTTGATGGCTATGTCAAGATACATCAATTTTAGCCCAATTGAGATATATATATCTTTGCTCTAGC